ATAGAATTCTGAAGAGCACGCCACCGTGATAATGGACTAACGTTCTCAATATTTTGATTAGAATATAAAAATTCTCTAAATGGTGAACATTTTGATTGATAGTTTAATGGCATGGCTTCAACGTGATACGTAGCTGCATATTCTGAAGCTTCCTCTAATTGGTCTTGATTCAATTTTTTTTGTCACCTAAAACGATAATCTAATAAGTTGGTTAGATAATGTGGCGGTGTCACAGCCATATTAAAATGATTTTGAAAGCACTGTATTTCTCGTTGCGTAAATGTTTCTTCTTTAATATTTTCCGATAAATTTAACCATATTTGGATTGTTTCACCAATAGTACATTTTTTTATCAGTAACAAAACTTCTAATAGAGCAATCAAATATTTGGCACCTTTTTATTACTACGACAGCTAAATGAAGCTCGAGATGTAGTAATTTCTGACGAAACGTTTGTCAGCTAGGTCTTTGAATGGCGCGGCCACCTTTCGACAGGCGAGCAGGGCGGGCTCGCGCCTTCGTCCTTTGCTTGGGGAAGGACGAGCTCACCAAGTGTAACTAAACGTTGCGATTCGTGACGGCGCGTAAAACTTGGAGACCGAACTACGTCGCGCGGCTCATTTAGCTTTCTCGGTGCACCTATTGTCGTGGCACCGAACCGAACGGCCAGCCGTGAGCCGAGCGACCGATGACGCGAACTTCGCCAATTGGAATATTTAAAGCCCCAGTGCACCAAGAGAAAGAGAGAGGGGGAGAGGCGAGCATTAACTACCAACCGAGCTCGAAAGTAATTTTGAGGCTTCCCTTGCAATATGCACGAGGGGATACAGCCGTCTCTGTGCCTCTCGCGCGCGCTTTTGTACACTCGGCCCTCGGCTATTCATGAGTAGCCCTCGGCCCCGAGTAATCGTCCTATAACGGACGACGTCCTTTCCTCCCCCGAAAGACTTGTAAGAGGGATATTGACGTCCGGCGGAAAATCGATCGCGTCCACTGATAAATCCGACCGGCTGATATCTCGCCCCTCGCGATGCCCATCCTAATTTCGTAGAGCTTCGATCCTTCCACGATGCGACCGACATTCCGAATTAGACGATCGCATTTAGCGGGGGAGAGATCACGGTGGGAATATGCGCCTTGTTGCACGACAAGCAAATTAACGTCAGTTATTTTAGCCCAACTCGATCAGCGTCAGCTCCACGTTTGATTTCGGGCTTTGTTAATATCATTAACGTCCCGCCGCCGCGCCGCAGTTGCGGATAGAAAGTTGTACAGCAGCTTGTCGCGTTTAAGATTTATATTCGCGAGTATCACGTTAGACGAATTTAGTATTTAGATTTTCGACGGTAATTTCGACATAAAAAAAAACCGCACGCTATCGCTGTTTTTATCGGTCAACCCCTCCCCCCCCCCCCCCCAGAAAATCGCAATAGACTGATAGAGAGGAGAGTCTCGCGATATGTTTCGAATAGGAACAGTCCAGATGCTTTAAATTTCATATTTGCGGAGCTTCATTAATTTGGTATCTTAAGCTGCTCAGGACGCTAAGTCAATATTATGTCATACAGCAAATTTGCTTTTAACAGTCTACGACGGCGAACGACGACTGAATTAAGTAGGTTCCATTGAACGCGGAAAATCAGAGAGGAACGAAGTACGCGGGCGCGGGCGGGGGGGAGGAGGGAAAAAAATAAAAGGTCAGGGAAGATCGGGGCGCGTACACGGCTTAACTTCGTGGACTGGCGCTTTATACGATCGCGGCTATAAAGTTCCCGCTAATTCCGCCTTGCAAACTTTTTCTCAGAGGTACGAAGACAGACAAAAATATCGTCGCGAAAGTTCCTTTGATAAGCGCATCTCGAAGGAGGCGTCGTAGCTCGCTGAAGGGCAGTTAATCCCGCGCGAGGTGAGATTTTGACGGATAAAACCCCAGCCCGGCTTCCGGGCGACCCCGTAACGGAGTAACGACCGCGGCGAGGAGCGAGCCAGCAGCTTTTGGATCCTCGTTTTCGAGGAGCGAACGGGATATCTGTGTGTGCTTTAAACTATTTAAACAAAGAACCGCGTAAGCCATAGTCGTCCATGAGAATGCGCGCGATCTCGCAGCGATCGCCGTCGCGATATCATCTACCATTTCCAGTACGTTTATCGCGCGAATCGCCGGATTGATTCTAGAAAAAGAAAAAAAATATATATATATCGTCGTGAAATGCTAATGAAATTCACGAGGTGTTTCAAATTGATCTATAAGGCGAGCGGATAAGTTGGTGTCGCGGGTAAAGTTTGCGGTAAGCACAGCTCGGGCCGCCAAGTGACAGGACGAACTCTTAAATCCGAAATTTTCGATGCAGCTGAAAGTTGGCGGAGAACATTCGGAGAGGTCGCGAGCTCAGACGTATCCGTCTTGCGGAAAAACGACCCGCCAGTCTCTCCTTCTCTCTCTCTCTCCAAAGACATAATTTTGCCCCGAATGTTTTCATAAGCGAGGCAAACGTCGCAGCAATGTTTAAATAAAAATTTCGTAGTTCTCTCGATTCTGCCCTTTTACCGATATCTTTGCCAGATATCGGATCCGCGTCACGGAAAATAAAGGATTCGCTGTGACAGTACCTGTACGTATTTTTCAACGAATCTGCAACTCGTTCGTTCGGTTTTTTGCGCAATATTCGACCTTTTTTTCCCGGCACATTACCGAGTTATCGCCGAAACTGAGCTCGAAATACAAATTTACGAACTTCACTGGATATAAATCCGGATATCAAGTTACGGACAAACGAAGGTTGTATTGTTCAGTGGACTTAAAGCAGACCTGCTCGGAGGGAAATTTAATTCGAGGCATAATCGCGCAAAGATATATTCAACGTTGGCGGTTTTATCGGATCCTTTCGTCGGGAAAAGGGGGGGCGGGCGGGTGGGAGGGGGAGAGAAATCCTCCTAATTCGCGCTTCCTGCGGGCGAATCTGGCGTTTCTTTTTCCATTTTCGACAGTTTTGACGGACGGGCTCGCAATCCGATCCCATCGCATAATACCCAAAAGCACTCGCGCAATAATGGAGCCATCGTGTTATTCGGCCGGCGCGGCGGAGGTGGCCTATGGAGGAGGCGCGCCGGCACACGCGGAGTTCGGAATCGAAACGGCCGCGGGGAAGAAGGGGGGAGGAGGGGGGGGGCGGCGGCGGCGGCGGCCCGGAGGGCGGGAGCCGCGGGCAGGGTGGCATCCCCCGAGACTGAGAAATCCGTTTCTGGGCAAACTGTCTTGCGAGTAGTTCGCCGGATAGTTTCGGATCCAGATTCCCGGGAGTTAAGCCAAACCGCCTCCTCAAGCGAGACGACGCGAGGATCGTCCCCCACCCCCACCACCCTCTCTTTCCCCCCCCCCCCGTTTGCCGGCGCGCGATCGTGCGGTCCCGATGGCTGAAATGAGATCCGTTTGCCGCTCCTAGTTACGGGAATAACGCACCGAGGCCGGATTTATGACGGCCGGGGTCAAATAAATCGCGGATTATATGACTTGACGAGCACTTTGAGAAAGCTTTCCGCTCCTGTCCCTCCGGCCCCCCTTCCCCCTCCCCCTCCCCTCGCCTCCCTCCGACGACTTCTTGGAATTTATCGCCGTTTAACCTATTTAACCCTTTCGGGGACGGTCTATCCGTTACGCGAAATATTTGCATCTTTCGTGTCGATCCCCGCGCGATTGTGAAACGGCTGAGTTTCTTCCCGGCTTTTCGGGCGAATCTTTCATTTGCGTGCCGCTCCCCCGTTTGAAATGAAATGAACACCGACCGGCTAATTAAAGAACTTCTAGATTGTGTGTATATTACTAAGCTGACGGACTTTAGTTTAGACCGCGTTTTATTACTTTTCAAACTCCGAAGGTCAAACGGACTCGTGGCAAAAGGGGGGCCTTCCGGAACGAGAAAAATAGAATATTTAATTACGCTTGCTCCCACGATAATTCGAGGAAGAAAATTAAGACCAGAGGGAGGAATTCCAAAAGGTTTAATAACGACAATCGGCCCGGGTGAACTCGGGGACTTGATTACCAGCGCCGGCTCGACGCGAAATATTCGAAAGTTGAACGCCCGTGCGTCCGAAAGCGAGCCGACGTGACGCTGAATATAAACGAATATGCAAGATCGTGTTTCCCCAGTTTTCGCGCTAATATTCCAGCGGGACATTTTGCCAAACGTTTTTCGCCGCGGGAACGATTTCGAAAATCGAGCAGCGGTACTTGTCCTACTGTAATAGGACGTCGTCCACGTTATCGCCAAGAGAAGGATACAGGAGCGACCGCGCGCTCTCTTCCTCCCTCTCTCTCTCTCTCTCTCTCTCTGTTTCCCTTTCTCTCCGCGAAGTCGAATTACCCTCCTGTCCACCGACAAACCCTGCTGGAAAACTTGGCATAGTCCGGGCGCCACTATCTATTCAATTTTCGCCAAGTTGGCGGAGTCGTTGCCAGGGAAGCCGACCGACCAACCGGACGTTTTGTCTTTTCTCGCCTCTCTCGCGAAAGAAAGATGATGGAAGTCGTTTACGGGAGGAGGAAAAGGAGAGAGACAGAGAGAGAGAGAGAGAGAGAGAGAGAAACGCGCGCTTCACGCGCGAACCGACTTCCTGGGGTTACTTATGGCGCGAGATAGCGGGAAAACGCGTTTCTGTCCGCCAGGATGATTTTTCATTTCGCTGCTTGGCGCTGCATTAACGCTCGAAGCGCGTTTCGTATTGATCCATCATCCCCGATGCAGATTATATTTTTGTATCTTGATATACAGTTACTAATTGATTGTTCCTTAAATAGGAATGTTACCTTCGCGGGCCAGCGTTAAATACAACGGAGGCGATATCTATTAGTCGAAGCATTTAAATGCGGTAGAAGCAAATGAAAATATCAGCGTCGTGCTGTATAGCTGAGGAAGGAAGGGAGCATGAATTAATTCGAATCGGATACACGAGAATGAAACGGGAGGAATAATGTACCCTGTGTCAGAGAGCGTCATCCGTACGTTTGATCACGTGAATTTATTCATAAATAAATCGTAGGGTGCCAACTTGTTGACGGACTTACAATCAACGGCCCTACGACGCGCCCGGATAAGGATCTACTCTGTTCTTGCGTAGAAGAAATTGGATCTTTCTGTTCATGTCCTCATTGTAGATCGACTTGCACGTCTCGAAGTTGATCCTGCGTCGGACCTGCGTCGGTTTCTCGTAGTACCTCGTGCGCCTGTACTGCCCGAGGATGTCCTCCTTGGACAGGATACGATTTAACACACGGCACGCCTTGTCCACGTCGTTATTTTGAACAAAGATCGTACGGCTGAAAAATTGTATGTGCCGCGGGAGACCCATCTGGAAAACGACGCGAACAACATTTCCATAATTTTTCCTCCGCGAACGTTTTGCATACAGTTAGGCAACTCGCGGTCCTCAGGCTGCGTAAAGAACGCAGCGAGACACGGCAAATGTTGTGAAAACATATCTACCAGAATCGCAATATGACGCTAGGAAAAACGATTCTCTCGATTATTAAATTTACGCGAGCTCAGGATTATATATTGGCAAATATATTTACCGCGGGCAGCTCCGATTTTAGGTTAGGTTGGAAACCGCCGACCAAACCTCGCGCTGTCCCCGTCGATGCCGACGACCAGAAACACTTCTCGCGTATCCAGCGGAATTGATTACGCGCCGCCGTGCGAAAATATACCGCGAGGAATCGTTATTTCACTTGCAAACTGATACTTACGATCCCGAGTTCGGACGACGGGCGGCCGCCTGATCCGGATGGAGACACAGTACGGACGGCGCCATCTGGCGGCCGGTCGAGAACCGCCGCGTCACGACGACGCCTGATCAGCTGATCAATTACCGGCCGTTTCCGGCGGATAGTCGTAAAATAATTGTATATGGCCTAGAAATACGACGTTCAGCAACGTGATGGTGATGAAATAAACCACGAGCCAGTGGGCCATCTACGAAACACAAAAACGAGCGTTAGGCTGATGGCAGA